CCACAATCTTAACAGTACAAATAGCCATCATTTTATCATCTAATCCCCAAATTGACTCAAAGTTCCACGTTAACATGGGAACCGGTCAGCCTAACAAGATCCTTTGTTCATTATTCCAGAACCTGTTCTTTTTTCTTTAAAGGCAATTGGGGTTAAGTGATTTGCCCAGGGTCACACAGCTAGTAAGTGTTAAGTGTTTGGTCTGCGGGCAGATTTGAACTCAGGGCCTCCTGACTTCAGGGCTGGTGCTGTATCCATTGCGCCACCTAGCTGCGTCCAGGACCTGTTCTTAAACGTCCCCCCCCTTTTAAATAAACTCAACATGGGGAGAGAACAAAACTCTGGCCAAACACAAGAGTTGATGACCATACTGCCAAAATTAAAGAGTACGCCGTACCTTTCTGTCAGTAATAAACAAGCTACATTTGGAAATTAATATCAAAGTGCTTGCCTTCTCAAGGATGGAGGAGGGGTTAGAAGAAGGGAGAGAATTTGGAACTCAAAAACTTTAAAAAAATGATTGTTAAAATTATTTTACATGTAATTGGGAAATATTTAACAATATTTAAATACATTAACATTTAAATATATAAAAAATAAGCAAGCTATTGGTTTTCTGGGAATGTATTTTATAAGGGGGTTTTGTTAGGCAGTTATCTATTATGTCAAAGCAAAGTGTTTCATTATGTTTAAATTTTAAAGAATGTTTCCATATTCAAGAGAATTTGGATTTAAAATTGGAGAATTTGTATTTACAATCAGATTGATGAGAGAGCTAATATTCCTGGTTTTTATTTTATTTTAACTAAAACTGGTAAGAATTTATAAAATGCTTGCCATGTACTATGCTAAGCTCTGGGAAGACAAAAGTGAACCAGCCCCCGTCCTCAAGGTACTGACATTCTAACAGGGGTGAGAAGATGGACGTGTTAAGTATATATAATATAGGAAATTAATATGAAGTAGCTTTAGGAAGAAGGGCACTAGCAGCTGGGGGGAGCATCAGGAAATGCTTCATGTTGAAGGTTGCAACTGAGAATTCTGAAGGAAACTAGAGATCCTAAGAGGCAAATGTAAGGAGAAAGGTATAGGAGGAAGCAGACACAAAGGTAATGGAATGCCATGCATTGAAGAACGCAGGTAAGCTGGGATGGCAGGACCCACAGAGGCATGTGCAGGAGTAAGAAGAAGACTGGAAAGGTAGAAAGGGGCCAGACTGAGAAGAGCTTAGATGCCCACAGTTTATCCTGGAGGCGATAAGAAACCACTGGAATTTATTGAATAGGAAATGACATGGTTAGATCTACACTACAGGAAAAAAGTCACTTAGACAGCTGTGCAGAGGATGGATGGGAGTGGGGACTGACTGGATGTGTGGGATGAGTGAAAGAAGAGCTGAGGATGGGAGCCAAGAAGGCCAAGTGAAAGCAGTGACTTGCTTGAGCTCTCCCCCAAACCCCTCCAAATACCTATAAAAAATGGCTCTAAACAAATTCTAAAGCAACAGAACCCACAAAAAGACAGAGTGAAGCAAATTTCCAGCCCAAGACAACCTGGATGATTGATCGGAAAGGTATCGAGCTGGGTGGAGAGAGGAGCGCAGTGCGGCATGGATGCACAGGCCACAGAGAACCTGGAGCAGGCCTCAGAGGACTCACTCTCAGGCAGCTGTGGTGGTTTCCTGACCTCTCAAAAGGCAAAGACAACATAGAAGGTCAGTAGGAAAAGTCTGTTTCTGCAGTGAGAGAGGAGCTAGGTCTCAGAGCCAGTGCCAGAGTGTGGAGCACGAAGCACGGGCCCCAGGGTGGTGGCTGCGTCCTGAGATTCTGCCCCACAGACAGAGGGGGAATCAGGTGGCTGATCAGAGAGGGATTGCAGGGATCTCTTTGCCAGTGCTGAGGCAGGAATCTCTTGCTTTGCCTGTGCTTGGATCTGGGTCACAGTTCTGGGCAGCAGTCCTGGGGTGAGGAGGAGTGCTGGCGGGTGGAGCTTGTAGTGGCTGTGAAGAGGAAACTTTCCTCACAGTTCCAGGACAGAAAGGAGTGCTTGTGGTCACTAATAGACCAGAGCACAGGCCAAGAAAGGAGTAAACACCTTGCCCCTTATCATACCACCTTGCAAGAACTGAAAATTTACAGGTCCCTACAAGTATCTCTGAAAATAGTTGTACAAACCCCCGAAGCTTGGGACAGTACATTCTCCACATTGGAAGCAGACTCTTACCTTAACAAAGAGTTTAAAACTCAAGTAATTGGCTGGGATCATGAGCAAGCAGCGCAAAAAGAGTCAGACTATATTATCTTACTTTGGTGACAAAGAAGATCAAAACATACAACCAGAAGAAGACAACAAAGTCAAAGCTCCTACATCCAAAGCCTCCAAGAAAAATATGAATCAGTCCCAGGCCTTGGAAGAACTCAAAAAGGATTTTGAATAAAATAAGTGGAGGAAAAACTGGGAAGAGAAATGAGTGATGCAAGAAAATCATGAAAAACAAGTCAACAGCTTGCTAAAGGAGACCCAAAAAAATACTGAAGAAAATAACACCTTAAAAAGTAGCCTAACCCAAATGGCAAAAGAGGTCCAAAAAGCCAATGAGGAGAAAAATGCCCTAAAAAGAAAAATTGGCCAAATGGAAAAGGAAGTCCAAAAGATTACTGAAGAAAATACTTCCTTAAAAATTAGAAGAGAGCAATTGGAAGATAGTGACTTTATGAGAAATCAAGACACTGTAAAACAAATCCAAAAGAATGAAAAAATAGAAGACAAGGTGAAATATCTCACTGGAAAAACAACTGACCTGGAAAATAGATCCAGGAGAGAGAATTTAAAAATTATTGGACTATCTGAAAGCCATGATCAAAAAAAGAGCCTAGACATCATCTTTCAAGAAATTATCAAGGAAAACTGCCCTGATATTTTAGAACCAGAGGGCAAAATAGAAATTGAAAGAATCCACTGATCTCCTCCTGAAAGAGATCCCCAAAGGAAAACTCCTAGGAATATTGTAGCCAAATTCCAGAGTTCCCAGGTCAAGAAGAAAATATTACAAGCTGCCAGAAAGAAACAATTCAAGTGTGGTGGAAACACAATCAGAATAACACAAGATTTAGCAGCTTCTACATTTTTTTTTTTTGGCAATTGGGGTTAAGTGACTTGCCTAGGGTCACACAGCTAGTAAGTGTCAAGTGTTTGGTCTGAGGCCAGATTTGAACTCAGGTGCTCCTGACTTCAGGGCCGGTGCTCTATCCACTGCGCCACCTAGCTGCCCCAAGCAGCTTCTACATTAAAAGACCGCAGGACATGGAATATAATATTCTGGAGGGCAAAGGAGATAGGATTACAACCAACAAAACTGAGTATAATCCTTCAGGGGAAAAAATGGTCATTCAGGGAAATAGAGGACTTTCAAGCATTCTTGATGAAAAGACCAGAGCTGAATAGAAAATTTGACTTTCAAATACAAGACTCAAGTGGAACATGAAGAGGTAAACAGGAAAGAGAAATCATAAGAGACTTATTAAGGCTGAACTGTTTACATACCTGTGTGGAAAGATGATATTTATAACTCATGAGACCTTTGTCAGTATTAGGGTAGTTGGAGGGAAAAAATTATATGTATGTATGTAGATAGATAGATAGATAGATAGATAGATAGATAGGTAGATAGATCGATCGACAGACAGATAGATAAAGGGCATAGGGTGAGTTGAAGATGAAGGGGTCATATCTGGAGAATAAAATTAAGAGATGAGAGAGGATTATACTAGGAGAAAAAGAAAGGGAGAGGTAGAATGGGGTAAATTATCTCACAAAAAAACAGAAAAGCCTCTTACAGTGGAGGGAAACAGGGGAAGGTGAGAGGGAATGAGTGAATCTTATTTTCATAGGATTTGGCTTAAGGAGGGAATAACACACACATTCAATAGGGTATGGAAATCTGTCTTACCCTACAGGAAAATGGGGGGGAAGGGGACAAGAGAGCAGGGGGATGATAGAGAGAAGGGCAGACTGGGAAAGGGGGTAATCAGAAGCAAATACTTCTGAGGAGGGACAGGGTTAAAAGAAAGAATAAATGGGTGGACAGGACAGGATTAAGGGAAATAGAGTTAATTTTTCACAACATGTCTACTATGGAAGTGTTTTGCATAGCTGCATATGTATAACCTATTTTGAGTTGCTTACCTTTTCTTTTTTTTTAATATAAATTTATTTATTTTTAGTTTTTGCCTTTTCAATGAGGGTGGGTGGGCGGGGAGGGAGGAAGGAAGGGAGAAAATTTGGAATCCAAAGTTTTAAAAACACATGTTTAAAAAAATATATTTTCACATGCAACTGGGAAATAAGAAATACAGGAAATGGGTACAGAAGTCTATCCTGTCCTACAGGAAAATAGAAGGGGAAGGGGATAAGAGAAGGGGGGGGAGACAGAAGAGAGGGCAGACTAGGGGGAGGAGTATTCAGAATGCATGCCATCTTGGGGTGGGGGGAGATGGGGTGAAAATTTGTAACTCAAAATTTTGTGGAAGTAAATGTTAAAAACTAAAAATAAATAAATTTATATTAAAAAAAAAAAAGAAGAAGAGCTGAGGATCAGCCTGAGGTTTCAAAGCTGAATGACTGGAAGGATGGTGACATCCTTGACAGTAATGGGGAAAGTAAGAAGAGGGGTCAGTTTGGAGGGAAAGAGAATGAGTTCTGACGGGGAGTGCTGAGTTTGAGATACCTCCATGACAACCAGTCTGAGATGTCCAATGGGAAGCTAGTGACACAGGACTTGAGGTCTGGAGATGGATGCACAGATATGAGAGTCCACTACACAGGATAATAACTGAGCCCATGATGCTGAGGAAGGTCACCAAGTAAGAATGTAGAGAGAAAAGAAAAAGGATCCAGCAGAGGAGACTGAGAAGGAACAGATAGGATGTGGATCAAGAGATACCAATGTCAAGATTATAGAACTTTAATAAAATGAATAAATTCAATGAAAACACAGCAAATTTTCTTTCCTACAAAAGTATTTAATAAAAATATCTTCACAGTGATTAGATATTGACAAACCTTAAAAGCAAAATTATTTATACAGTAATAAAATATTTATACAAAACAAATTGCTGAAATGTTCAGCACACGAACAACCCAACCAGGAACACTTAGGGACAGCATACCAAAACAGTTGCAGACCATTTTTTGGATCTTTTTTAAAAAATGGATTTTTATGACCTCAGGATGGAACCAAAGGAAAAAATATTACTATTAAGCAATCCCCAAAGCTAACAGGAAAATTACTGGAAAAGGACCACCTTTAAACTGTTGTGACAATTTGTATCTGTTAGTGAACAAAACTGGGTGGATGGTGAGTGTAGAACTACTGAGGTACTCCAGTCCAGGCGACACCAAGATACTAAAATCCAAGAAGCCTCTTTGCCTCCTCGCTCTGGGCCAGGAGTGTTTCACTGGCATACTTTTGCAGGAGTTCCATCTTCTTTCTTCGTACAAGAGCTTCCTCGATCTAAACATACAATGAAGAGTCTCACTCTTTATCCAATGAGCACCTCAAGCCTGTTCTGCATAAGAGCCTAGAGCTAAAAGCTGTCTACACAAAACCAAACATTCAAGTGGAAAGTGGAAAATTATATCAGTGGTCAAACGGGCGCACTCATGTCACCTTTATGCCTCGATTTTCTCATCTGTAAAATGAGGAATTAGAAGATCTCAAAGGTCTCTTCCAGCTCTGAAGTTCTTTGAACTATCATATCTACTTAATAACAGTGAGAGTTAGTATTTGTGGAACATTTTAAGGTTTGCAAAGTACTTCACAAACATCATCTCACTTGACCATCACAACCACCATGGGAGGTAGATGCTATTCCTATTCCTATGTTAGAGGAAACTGAGGCAGGCAAAGGTCAAGTGACTTGCCCAACATCACATACTAGTAGGTAACTGAAGCCACATTAGAACTCAGATCTTCCTGACTATATACAAGTCCAGTGATCTATCCTCTGTACCACCTGGATGCCTCAGAAACATGTGAATTAGTAAATGCCAACTTTCATCCTAAGTTTAGTATCCTGTAGAATCCAATTTCCTTACCCGGCCCACAACCCCCATATGCCAAGAATGACTGTGACACGCTTCCTTAGTTCCAATAGGAACTAAAATGTCAAAAATGCATCACATGGAACCCCAAGGATTGGGACTGGGTCCCTCCTTAGGCCAGTACTTGCCTCAGAGAGAGACACTCTCATCCAGATGTTCTCTACCTGGGATTCTCATCAATTCTTATTCAGAAAGAAAGGCTTCCTCTCTCAGCCCTCTCCTTTCCCACGGGAAATGCAGCCTCCTTTAGTGCCCAATTCTCTTCACTGTCATTTCTACCTGAAACTCCTTCCCTTCCCCATCACTCCAGCTTTCTCAGACGCCTGCCTTTGGGGATGGGCTCATTTAGAGGTGTTGGCACAGACTGGGGTCTGGAGATAAAAAGGGACCAAAGGCGCTCTCTCTTTCCTCCCTCTCATATCCTACATCCAACTGGTCGCCAAATCTTGTGATCCTACCTTCGCCATCTCTCCTGCTCCTCTCTTTTCCTCTTCACTCACACAGTCCCCAAAGTATTTTAAGCCTTTAGCATCCCTCATCCGGACAATGTAATAGTCTCCTAAATGGTCTAGTCCAGGAGCTGGGAACCTGCAGCCTTGAGGCCACATGTGGCCTTCTAGGTCTTCTAGGTCTGGATGAAGCCTTTCGACTGAGTCCAAGTTTTAGAGAACAAATCCTTTTATTAAGACGATTTGTTCTGTGAAGTTTGGATTCAAGTCAAAGGGCTGAACTCCTGGTAGTCTATACCCTCTAATTCAGCCTTCACAGGGCAACCACAACAGCCTTCATGAGGTACACGCAGGGTCATGGGACTCCTCTGCAGTCCTTCACTGCCGTAAGATAAAGTTACAACTTTATAAGAACATCCTAGGGGCAGCTAGGTAGTGCAGTGGATAGAGCACCCTCCCTGGAATCAAGAAGACCTGAGTTCAAATCTATTCTCAGACATGTAACACTCACTAGCTGTGTTACCCTGGGCAAGTCACTTGACCCCAACTGCCTCGCAATTAAAAAAAAAAAAAGAACATCCTTTACCTCCTGCATTCACAGCCAGCTTCCTGTACTCTCCATGTGATCTAGCCCCCAGCCCCATAAGGAACAAGGGTCTGGCTTCTTCATTGGTTTTACAGTCCAGTGCTAGCACAAAGAAAGCCCTTAATAAAGCTTTACTTGATTGACTGGAACTGGAATACATTAGATTACGTTCACTGGAACAAGAAAAAAGTTTTTTTTCTTCTTTCAGAGTAATTTCTTGGGGCAGCTAGTAGCCTTACTATCCCCTCCCTACCATTATCTCCTGCATGGTCTTCAGCCTCCCTTGGAAGAGAAGAACAATTCCAGGGGGCAGGCAGGTGGTGCAGTGGATTGAGCACCAGTCCTGGATTTGGGAGGACCTGAGTTCAAATCTGGCCTCAGACACATAACGCTTACTAGCTGTGTGACCCTGGGCAAGTCACTTAACCCCATTGCCTAGCCAACCCCCCCCAAAAAAACCCAAAAACAAAACCAAAAAAAAGAGTAATTTCTTAGTTACTTCCTAATATCTCACAAGATAAAATGCAATTCTGTCAAGAAAACAAATGCCCTGCACTATAGAAATACAACGGAAACTAGATGAGCAGAATAAAAAAGAAAAAACCTGGATACTTCTACACAGAAACGCACCCTGAGAAAGGGTTAGAGAGAGAGCTGTGTGGAAGCTTGGCCACTCACATTTTCAACCCAGTCAAAACACTTAGGAGTCACTTAAGTACTCATTACTGAGGAGCTGAACATACACACCAGAACTTCACAGGAAGGTTGGCAAAAAAGATGGCAAAAAGCAATAAGCTTCTTCCTTGTTCTGACAGCAGCTGTGTTTGGAGTCAGGAAGACTAGAGTTCAAATCTAGTCTCAGACACTAACCAGCTGTGTGACCGTGGGCAAGTCACTTCACATGGAGATGAAGTTGCCTCCATTTCCTCCCCTGTAAATTGGGAGTAGTAACAGCACCTACCCCCAGGGCTACTGTGAGGAACAAAGTGTCCAGCACACAGTAAACACTATATAAATGCTAGCTGCTGCTGCTATTTCATGACTGCTTTAAAAAACAGCAAACCCATTTCAGGATGTGTTTCCTCATTCAGCGGAGAAATAAACCATGCTGCTCACAGGGGATCCAACTGCTTTGCAGATTCTCCTTGCTGACTGCGGTGCACGGTGAGGAGGGCACTGAATTCGGAGGCAGAGGGCCTTGTTCCAGGACGACCCTCTGTCCCTCACTAACCATGAGAACGGAAGCAAATCCCCTGCTCTGAGTTTCCTCATCTGCAAAATGGGGACACTACCCACCTAAGGAACATTTCTCTCATGACCACCCTATGATCATAGCCAGCAGAAATATTATGATTTTACAGCTGAGGACACTGAGGCTCAGAGGAGGGCAGTGACTTGCCCGTGGTCACAAGGCGAGTGAGCTGGGACCTGCACCTACATCTCCTGACTCCAACTCCAGAGCTCCTCCCACTACATAACAGAATCACTCACTGAATCGAGTCACCTGTCAGTACCATAGCTGAAATAAAACAAGTTCTGAAATACGTATTTAGTAAGTAAACGATCACCAAAGAGGCACCAAAGCAAGAAAGAAACCTCCTCTGCCTGAGCCATGCCTTAGCCAAGCTCCTCCTGAAGAAGGCCACTGGGAGGAAAGGGTAAACAGAGGCTATCATTATTTTTAGAAAGCAGCTGATGATAGAGGGAGAAAAATCAGGTCCTTGGAGCATAAGGGAAAGGAAAACAAAGACTGATCTGTGCGCACTCTGTACACAAACACGGCTCGAGGGAGCTGGTGACATGTTTTTAAAGAAAGCTCTTCCCTCTGAGGCCACCACTGCACAGGTCGGCTCCTTACCTCTTGCTGGGAGGGCACGGGGACGTGAGCGATAAATTTCTGCTGCCCTTCTTCTCCTTCCTTCTCTTTGGCACTCTCCTCGTCAGACTAGAAAATGGAAAATGTGCTTCACCAACCACCCACCTGCAGGTGAGTCCACAGTACTGATGATCCCCGTTACTGTCGCACCTTACCGGTACTCGATGGGCCAGAAAAAGCATGTCCCTGTTTTTCTAAAATGCTGAGCCTAGAGCTCCAGAAGCCTGAGCTTGGCTCACCGTCAGGGTCTGCATTTCTGATTCAATCCGTTCTCTAGCAGGAGGACTACACTTCAGCTTTGCTGGGCCTGCTGATGCTTCCCACTTTCCCTGTGTCAAGTCAGCCAACAAGAGCAGGCTTCCTTCCAGAATGCGGCTCGGGCCACAGCTGAGGCTGGTTCTCTGGCTGTGACTGTCTAGCTACACCTGCTGATTCCTACCATCACTGAACTGGGTCTCTGTCTTCAGTTTCTACAGTTTCCTACCCATCCTGCATAGCACAAGTGTAATATTCCTAAAAGACTATGTGTGTTTGGAGAAGTCACTTTACTCCTCTGGGCTGGGCCTCAGCTTTCCATCTATGAAACGAGAGACATGGACTCAATGATTTCCAAGGTTTTTTACAGTGTAAAATGCTGACTCATTTCAACACCTTTGGTGATGGGCTGAACTTGACTTAATGGAAAGGCTTCATGTTGTACAGATCCCGAATGTTTTCGTGCAAAGAATAAAAAAACCGTTCTACAACCAATGGTAGTGATCTCAAAGGGACCAAACAGAAACTGAAGGTGAGCGGCTCATGCCCTCGCCACAATACCTCCTCGTCATTCACAGCATAGATGTTTATTTCCTCTTCCTCCTCTTCTTTGTCACCACGTGCAAGGCGGGCCTCTCGCTCAGTTTTCCACTTTTCTACTGCTTCTGCTATGACTGAATGAGCACAAGAAGAACAAGTGTTATTCAGTCCCTCTCCTAAAGGTCTAAGTTTATTCAAAATCCAAAGAACAACCTTCTCCAGTTGTGCAGACAAGTGAGCGAATGACCACCTAGGCTCCTGCCGGCCTTTGTTCTGAACTTCCTGACCTACAAACACATGACAAAGCAATTCTGGGGTCAAGATGCTCCAATTCTATCCAGTTCAATGATTCAGTAACTATCAACCTGCTTGTGGGAAAACAGCCATGAAAAAGTGTATAAAGGGGCACCAATCACTAAACGAACTGGTATTTTTTCCATGACCGTTACTTACCTATGATGCGTGCATTACTACAGATCCTGTATGTTTGCTGAATGAACACAGAGCCCTCACTTTCTGTGACACTTCAAATGTTTGTTTCTGAGATAAACATTTTTAAGATATGCTTCAGTTTACCTTTCTCTTGATTCTCCCTTTTATATTAACAATTTGACATATAAACAGATCTGAAGTTAAGCCACTGATTACCTTTTCATACTCTCAAAAGTAATCAGATGTAGAAAGAAAAAAGGTGTGGTCACCACAGAGCTCAATTTCCTTTTCCCTTAGCTCATTATAGGATCGGGTTTTTTAGAGCTATAAAGGAAGGAATAGTCCATGCTTTTTCATTTCATGTTTTATAGATGGACAAAATGAAGCCCGGAGATATCTGGTGACTTGTTCAAGGTTGGCTCTGGGATGCAAACAAAGATCCCTTTGATTCCAAATCCAAGGCTGCCAAGTGAGTTTGGGAAATTTACTAAATGTACTGAATGGGGTAAATTCTGATGGGGGCAAAAAAGGAGAGCTAGGTACCAGTGGGTCACCCCAGGTATCCAGGGAACAGAAGAGTGGCCTGGGTATCAGAAGTGGAGAGATATCTGAAAGGAGAAGTGGAAGTAACAACATAGTAAAGACAAACAGCCTTGAGGGATCTAAGCACTCTGATGACTGCAATGGCCAAGCCCAACTCCAGAGCCGTGCTGAGCCGTGCTCCCCACCTCCTGACACAGAAGTGAGGGACACAGACACAGAAGGGCACAAGCCTTCTGGTGCCCCGCCTATGAGAGGCCGTTCTTGCCGCCCTGACACTCAAAAACAGGATGAACAAAGGTCATTCTCAAAGAGTCCACAACGTATTTAATTTATGTCTTGTAGTAAGGGCTGGGTGGAGTAAGTGCAACAAGCCGGGGAGAAGGAGCAACAGGTGCAGCCACAGCATCAAGGTGTTTACATGACATATAAAATGGGGGGGCCTAAAAAAGTGAGACACACAGGAAGAACTGAACAAATTTCAAGAAAGGATGTAAGCACAGGAAGGAACAGAACTACCCACAAAGGAACACAGAAACAAGGCTGATTTTCACACAGACTTAGGAGTAACTTGTTCCATGAGGAAACCAGCCTTCCAAACGCAGGAGAGCTCGGGTGAAATGAACGGATTAAGTGGAAGCCGCCATCAGAGACGTGAGTGTAGCACACAGCTGTAAGGAGCCTCAGCCATGCGCTCAGCCACGAGGGAGAAGGGGGACATTTCAAACACCCCAAATGGCCTGTGCAGGAGCAGCCTGGGGAGCATTGTTGGAGGTGGAGTTCTTACCAAAGGTGGCAGTTCAAATAAGCAGTGACCATTCAGTGGAGGCTGTTAATGCACAAGCTGAAGAACTGGTGATGCTGAGTGTTATACAGACCCCCGGAGTGTTACACAAATCCCCCAGTCTGGGGGAAAACTCTCTAAAGGATAATGACTCAAATGCCCTTCACGCTCACCATCTGGTGCCTACAAACTGGGCTGCAAGTGACCAGGCTGTCCAGGAGAAAGGTTTCACCCGAATGCGGGGGGGAGGTAATGAGAGAAGGGTCAGACTCGAACCAAGACCAGAGCCAGTCATGTCCTGCCTCTGATGGTGGCCAAGTGACTCTGAGCAAGACATCTAACTTCTCTGTGAACGTTTTTTCTGTCATTTAAAGAATGTGGATGATAGCTCATAGGACTTGTATTTAAAGTCAGATCAAATGAGGTAATATCTGTGAAGCACTTAGCAGGGTGCTTAATAAATGCTTATTCCAAAAGAACTGATGAAGTCTGAATGCAGACTGAAGCATACTTTTTCAACTATATTATTCTTGTGGTTTTTTTGGTCTGTATTTTCTTTTGCAATATGGCTAACATGGAAACACTTTGCATGACGGCACATGTATAATCTATATAAAATTGCTTGCCTTCTCAAGGAAGGAGGAAGGGGAGGAAAGGAGAGAATATGGAACTCAAAAATTTTTTTAAATGAATGTCAAAAATATTTGTTTACATGGAACTATAAATGTTTACATGTAATCAAGAAAAAATGCTTATTTACTTCTCCTGAAGTATTTTACAAACTTTAAATACTATGTACCAGTTATTAATATTAGAATCAATTATTATTAGAATTATAATCCTAGCTGAATGAATCAGGCAAATCACTTATAACTCCTGGGCAGAGAGAGATTTTTGGAAATGGCTACGATGTAATTTAGCAAAAGGCTTCAAAAAACTGAAATGATATTTGTAATGGGCTCAGCACCCTGCCTGGCACAGACTAGGCACCCAATAAATGCTTGTTCCCCTTCCCTTTTTCTTTTGTTTTCTTTTTTTTTTTTTTAAACTGAGGCAACTGGGGTTAAGTGACTTGCCCAGAGTCACACAGCTGGGAAGTATTATGTGTCTGAGGCCACATTTGAACTTAGGTCCTCCTGACTCCAGGAGCCACCTAGCTGCCTCCCCTTCCCTTTTTCTAAACAAATACATCTGGACCCCAATTTCTTAACCATGCAATAGGAAACATTGTTCCTATGAGATCAAATGGGAATATGAGATAATGGATGTGGAAGAGCTTTAAGAAGCACAGAGCATTTGACAATGTAGGATAACAACTTAGCCCTGAGGGCGGGGAACCAGAGGCCTTATCTGTAAAATGGGGCTTATGCTAGCTGGCTTATTCTAAAGATCATGAGATTAAAAAAAAAACCAGCCCTAATACTATTTTAGGAGACATTAACAGAAGTGCCATATTACTGTAGGATCTATTTACCTGCCACAGGCAAGACTGATATCAGTGTCTGGTTTGCAGGTCCTATGATCTTTCTTATAATGTGCATCAGTCTATGTCCTTTTTGAAATTTTAGAACTGGATGATTCCCTCCTGCTGGGAATGCAAATTAATGTATATTATCTGCTCAAGAATTGATAAATACACATACCCATTTATACGTAGCAATATTAATCACTGAGGATTGAGGGCTTTCTACTCTTGTAAGGATCTCTGTGCATTAAAAAGTTCTCTCTCCATTCCTGACAGAATATGAGTTAACATTCAGATGTAGAATTCCAAGGGGAAAAGTTCTAAGAACCTCTCTTGGAGGCTCTTTGACACTCACGTGAAAGAATAACTTAAAGTCATATGATTCTTGGCACTGACCTGGCAACTTAGAGTCAGAAGCTGGGAAGATGCACACCTAAAATAATCATAACTGTTTACTATCCCATATACCTATGTAGTTTTCGTTGTTTCTCACTTTCTTTTTCTCCCTAAAACAAGTCGGGAAGGTATCTAATTATAACTTTATAGACAAGTGTCCTATCTGTTCTCAAATCTCCTCATCTGACTTGGGACCCTCAGACCCTTCCCATCCCCTTGTTAGCCAGCATCAAGCAGGCTGGGCAACATTCCAATCCCCTACTCTCAACCCCTTCGACCAATCCCTGCCGATCTCAACTCATAACTCCCTGAGGGAGGTACCAGGTGACATCTTGCTCCTTCCCAATCACCATTTTGGATCTCCTGAACAGGAAGGAGCACCCACCTATGTCAGAGACAGAACTTTTCCTGCACAAAACAGGAAAAGCGGGAACCCGTTTTTTGTGGGTGCTGCCACAAGTCTCATTTCCATCTGAGAGCAGAGGTGAGCACTGCAGCACCCTCCCCCAATCTCCAGCCAGCTGCAACAAATCTCCTCTAATAAATCATGGTTGCACACACCCCACATCCCCAAGTTTTGGACATGGGTTCTCTCCCTTTTCTGCAAACATCAGGGACACTGAGTTACTACTTAATCAGTTATTTGGAAAAGCCTTTACCACCTAACAGAGGAAATAAACTAAATCCTTGAATTCACACAAAACCTTAACTCAAACCACTGCGGTGAATGCCCTTAATTCGAGTGTCCAGAAAGGGAGGTGACAGCTAGTTTCTATATACCTTTTGCTCACTTGCCAAGGAATGATGAGGAAACTGAAAACCACGTCATACAAGGGTGAGTCAAAAGAAAAGCATCACATTGAGGATGAAGAACACATGGTGGGGACACGAGAGGTGTCTTCACATACACAGAGGAGGGATTAGATGTATTCTTGAGTCCCACAAAGTCAGGACTAAGTTACAAGAGGCAGAGTTCACCTCAACACAAAAAAGAACAGGCCTCCTGAGAGGTCGTACAGCACGTTCCCCCTCACAGGCCATCTTCAAGCAGTCTGGATAATAATAACAACAATAATGTATGTAGCACCTGCTATGTGCCAGGTACTATACTAATCATTTTACAAATTTTATCTCCTTTGATCTTTACATAAACCCTTTAGAGGTAGGTGATACCGGTGTCCACATTTTATAGACGAGAAACCTAAGGCAAACGAAAATGAAGTGAACTGTCCAGGCTCATACAGCTATTAAGTGACTCAGGTTTTCCTGTCTCCACTTATCATGGATGCTGTGGAAAGGCTTGGACAAGATAATCACTGGAGGCATCATCCATGGGCTGTTAACGATTGTAATAATGTACGCAAAATGCTTTTCAATTTTAAAGTGTCACATAAATGTAAGTAATTATTATTAATATTTTTACTGAAAAAAGACACCAAGAAATTTATCTGAAGTTACAAATAAGTATTTTACAACATGTTTCAGTTTAGAGTAGAGACTCAGACACACTGTTCAAGTGGGGAAAAGCAGAACAAGCTGTGGTGTATAACTGTGATGGAATACTACTGTGTTATAAGAAATGACAAGGGGGATGGTTTCAGAAAAATCTGGGAAGACCTATATAAACTGATGCAAAAGAAAGTGAAAAAAAAAAGTGAGCAGAACCAGATCACTGAACACAGTTAAAGCAATATTGTAGGGATGATCAACTGTGAAAGGTGCAGCTACTCTGATCCAGATAATTCCAAAGGACCCGGGATGAAAACTGCCATCCACCTGAAGAGAGAACTGATTAGCTCTGAAGACAAATGGAAAGACTTTTTTCATTTACTTTACTTTTCTTGTTTTTTTGTTTGTTTTTGCAACTCAGCTAATATGGAAATGTATTTTGTGTGACTTCACATGTATAACTGATTAAATATTGCTTGCCTTCTCAATGGTTGGGGGAGGGGCTGGAGGGAAGGAGAGAATTTGGAACTCAAATTTTTTTAAAAAATTTAATGTTAAAATAATGTATTAAAATAAAGTATTAAAAAAGAATAGAAAGATGCTATTCAAACGGCCATCCATCTATTTACCTTTCTTTTCATGCTCCTGCTCTAAAGGTTCCAAAATGCCATCATCTTCATCTCGGTAACCATAGTATTCAGCATCAATAGCTTTCATAAGTTCAGCTCGAGTCTTCCTTGGAGGAGGAAGGGCTAAAAGAACCAACAGCCACAAAGTCACCTTGTTCCGTACAAATAAAACCTTTAATAGGTAAGAAATACCAACATTTGGTTCACGCTAAATTTCTAGAACGTAACGCAATGTAACAGAAATTTGGTCTTACAGTCTCTGCCTCTCTAATTGATCCTCAGGTAACTTCAGACAGACATAAATGGATGCTACCCATAGGAGGCACTTAATCGATGCCTGATTGAGTTTGTACTTTTCTTCAATCAAAGTAAACACTGCAGTGGAAATTCCCAAAATGTGACAAGTCCTTTCATCTTTCTGGGATGAAGTTTCCTCACCTGACACATGAGAACTAGGCGAGGTAAGATTTAAAGTCCTTTCCAACCTTTAGTCCTATGATCTTAAATTACAATATAGAACTCAAGTATTTACCAAGAAACTAAGATTCAGCACCACACCTTTCCTCTGACGTGCCTGGTTTCTACAACAGCTTAATAAACATTCCAGCCCTCAAAGCTTCCTCAATCCCTAGCACGGTGCGGGGGTGGAGAACTAGGGGGGTGTTGGGTTCTTAAAAGCCAAACAGTGAAACTTGTACTCAGAACATTTCACCAAAGCTGGAAAGGCAAATGCAGGGGGATGAATTTTATTAGTTACAACTTGTGAAGGCCATCTATTAAATTATGGAACATTTTGTGGCATGTTTTAGTAAGGGGTGTACCCAGACCCATAAAACATTTGAGGCACTGTCAATCAATAAGCATTTGTTAATCACCTACTATGTGCTAGGCACTATGCTAAGCACTGGGGATACAAAAAAAGGAGCTCACAATCTAATGGAATATGAATTATACCAAACTATAATTATCCTCCCACTCTTAAACACACACACACACACACACACACACACACACACACACACACACTCACTCTCTCCAGTACCCTATAGAAAAAAATTCAAACCTATAAAAGAGAATTTAGGAAACGAGTAATCACATGATTTATAAAATTACAGCATTTTAAAGTCAAAAGGGACCTATGAGATCACACTGTCCTAACCCCATTTTTCAGATGAAGAAACTGGTGCCTGGAGAGATGGAGTGATGTCCTCAAAGTCACAGGGGAATGAGCCAGGTCTGAAGACTTCTAGGACCTAAGCCAGCCTCGAAGTCTACCTCTCATGCTCTTCCCATTATAAAGGCTGCCTTCTCAATTCAATTCACAACTTGAAAACAACAAATACGTATTAAGATATACCTAAGTTTTTTTCCTTACTTTTTGTTTTTACACTCACATAATTGTGCAAACTGAAGTACAAAGTACAGAAGTTTGGTACATAATGCCAAGAAGTTAAAAGAAACTCAGACCCTATTCTAAGTCCTATACTGGAACTGAAGAACCCCAAATATTGAAACTAGAGTTATCAATAAAACTGTACAAATAAAGTACGTATGAAGTTACTTACGTTCTTTTTCAAAAAGCTCTCTGACACCTGGAAGGTCTTTAGCTGCTCCAAAATATTTGTAACCTCGATTTCCTGGAACCTCTTTCCCTTCATGGTCTAACATTTTAGGGCCAACTTTCTTATATTTAAAAAAAAAAAGAAAAAAGAAAACGTCTCATTAAAAAAAGTTCTCAAAGAAGGTCCTTTTGCCCTAATGTAGATGAAGTCTTCAAATGAATCATAACAGATAAACTTATATGTTGACACAACAAAGTACAGAATATTCACCAAAATTCATAGACTGCCAGCTCCTTGTGGACAAAGACTACTTCTGCTTTTGTCTTTGTATCCTAAGCACCAGCACGAAGCCTGTCACATAAAAAGTGATTAATATACGTCCATTACATTTAAAGTACCAGACCCCTAAAAATGGGTGTACGATAAAACAAAGACACAGTCTACTGGGCCACAGCAAACCCTTTTCTACCTATTCTCTTTAAGATAATGAATAGTCACATTTTCAAAATTGTTCAAGAACTGATGACGTTGAAACAGCAAAATATTATGTATTTCTTTTATCCCTGTAAAAATCATGGAATAAAATCATTTTGAACCTCTGGCTTCTACAGGAGAAGGTTGCAGAAGGAAAAAGGTGAAAAACGACTTGAGCCAGAGAGAAGGAAATCATAAGGGAAACTTGGAGAGGACATGGACAAGTGATGCAAGTTTAATCTGCAGAGAAGAAACTGAAGACAATTTTGTAGAAGTCCAATCTCAAGGCCAAAATCAAAGACAATTAAGGGACTACAAAAGGATGAAGGAGGATAAAATATCATTAAGCAGTGACGCCTGAGGATAAGGAGAAGCTAGTTGACAAGGCCAGGCCAGAGAGGTCAGAAAAGGTAAGCAGAAGAAATACAGAGTTAAGAGACAAAGTGCATGGGTGAGGGGGCAAATTGGCTGTAAACAGTTTTAACTTTTAAAAATTCATAACGGGCTGTAAAAACTTCTAAGCAAGCGCTCAGGGCTGAGGTGTAAGCACCACAAGTAATTTTAAGAAACGAGGCTGAAGATCTTAACCACCGCTGAGTCTGCGGCACTTCCACTTCTGCCCAGCTGCATGACCTCTTGGGGCTGTGAGTGGGGGCTCATCTACATCCCAGAGAAAGTAAAGGGTGGAGAAAAATCCTCCCTCCCCCTGCCTCTGACTGTTAGCAGGATGAAGATTTCTAAAGGAAACAGAATCAATACTTTAATGGAGAAAAAGGGTTCTGAGGTGAAGGAGGGGAGATCTGACCACAGACAAAATACTGGGAAGGAGAGGAGGGTCTTCCTAAAGAGGAAAGAGCTGGATATTCCACGGAAAAAGAAGCAGCTCATCCTCCCAAGAATGCTAAAGCACAGACACTATCAGGTGAGATGACATCCATTTGGAGCAGGGGAAAGAGACAAGAGCAGTAGTAATTGGTGACAATTCCCTGCTCAGAGGTATTAAGACAATGATTTGTCCAGGTGCTAACAACAACAGAGAGTCTGTTATATTCCTAGGGCATGTATCCAAGACATTCTAAAGAAACTTCCTAGGCTTATCGAAGCCGATGGTGACTGATACTGGTACAAAGGACAGTTCCAGAAAGGAAGTTCGAAAGTATTAAGTCTTGGGCAAGAAACTGAAGGCTGTAAGGACACAGGTTGTTTTTTCCTCAATTTTACCCACTGAAGGCAAGGTACACAGAAGAAAAAAAATTAATTTGGGATGTGAACAGCTGTGGCTCAGCTGGCAGTACCCAAGAATGAGATAGAGTATTCTGTTATCGCTGCTATGAGACAGGACTGATGGATCCCTGGTGAGAGATGAAGTACACATCAAATGCCGGTGAGAATGTATTTGCTAGGTGTTTTGCCATCCAATCAAAAGGACTTTAAGCTGAAAAGGATGGTGGAAGGATAACGTCATTTTTGCAGAGTACTCAAGTTAGACATTTTAGGGAGTAACTAAATAGGAATGGCAGCTAAGATTTCAACAAATTCATGGAAGGCAAAATACAAGAAAGAAGTAAGTAATCCAAGCCCATAGCCTCTTAAGTGAATACTCAAATGCTCAAAGTTTAGGCAACAAATAAGGTGAACTCAAAGACCCAATACAAAGAGGCATATTTGACATTATGGGTATCAATGAGACATGGAAGAGGATGAAATCCATGACTGGACTATGGCTTTGAATGGGTGTATTTTATCCAAAAGAAAAAGAACTGTCAAAGAAAACAAAAAGGAGTTGGGATAGGGAGAGGATGGTAGCATATGTGTATTCATATACAGAAAACCAGGGAAAAAAGGAGAAAACACAATGGGGGTGAGCTAATATCTGGGTAATGGTCAAAAGATGGACAAAGAGAAGGGACTGTCATTGGTATACACTACACCACAGGGACAGAAAGAGGAAATATATGCGTGGTTTGGGTAACAAATCATAAACCTGGTACAAAAGCATGAATGTAGCAGTTATGGGGGACTTCAATTATCCAGACATCTTCTGGAGCTCTCCTTCTGCCAAAGGCAGAACAGTTAAAAATCTCTTGAATTGCCTTAGTGATAATTTCATCCTTCAAAAAGTAGAGGAATTAAGAAGTGAAAATTCTATTTTGGATCTGACTTTTACTAACAAGAAGGTACTGGCCGCTGGGGTAGAACTGACAGGAACCTTGGCAGGGGAGTGACCATTCCATTTCAGAGTTTGTGATAAAGAAGGAGAAAAAATCTGGGCAGTGTGACATGTATCTTAGATTTTGGAAAAGCAGATTTCAAAGAGTTCAAAAGAAAGATGTAAGATCCCACGGAGCAAAATTCTTCAGTGAAATTAACCCCAAGGGATGGCAGATGCTCTTGATATTCTGAAGACATAAAGTGTATCAAGTGCAATGAAAAGGAAAAATAGGATTTGTCTGAAGAGATCAATATGAATACATATGAAACTCAACAGCCAACTTAGGTTTTAAAAAAAGAAATATCCAGAAGATGGAAGCAGGTAACACCAAATGAATTTAAGAACATGACAGAGTCCTATAAAAATGGTATCAGGTATGCCAAGGCTATGAATGAGCTAAGGGCGGTGAGGAAAGCTAATGACAAAAAAAAAAGGTTGGGGTTTTGTTTTGTTTTTAGCTATGGGGCGGGGGGGGGGGGAGGAATCAAAGAAAGGATAGGACCTTTTGAGAGTAAATGAGATGATGAAGACTGACAACAAAGAAAAGGGAAAGGTGCTCAATTCTCATTTTGTTTTGGTTTTCTCTTTCTTTACACTAGAACAGAACAAAAACAAACAAAAACACAACAAAAAACTAACAGGGAACTGCCCCCCAAGATCAGTCAGGAGATAACTGTAAGAGAATGCCCAACTGCCCTTTAAGTAATTCAAGTAATCTAGCCCAGATGAAAGGTGTCTTCTAGTCCTCAAAGCTGGCATATATAATTGCCAAGTCAGTGGTAACTGAAAGACCATGGAAAACAGAAATATCACTAAGGTTGGAGATTTTTTTTAAATGAAAAGAGAATAAGAATTTGCAAACTATAGGCTAGTAAATCTGACTTTGATTCCTGGGGAAACCCTAAAATGGACCACTGAAGAGCTAGCTGGTAAATATCTATCTACAAAGGGAAGCTGTGATTACAAAGAGCCAAAAAATTTTTATAAAGAACAGGTCAGGTCAGATTAACCTCATTTCATTTTCTGACAGAATTACTACTAAACAGAAGATGAGGGGAATGTCATGGATATAGTTTACCTAGATTTCAGCAGAACTTTTTGATATCTGATCATATTCTTATAGAGAAGTTGGAGAGATATGGATTAGACAAAAGGCAAAAGATTTATTAGAAATGAAGAGATATAGTGGAACACATCAAGGATCTGTGCTTGGCCTTGTGCTATTTATTTATCAATGACTCAGACAAAGGCCTAGATGGTATGTTCAACAAATCTGCAGATGACACAAAGCTGAGAAGGACAGCCAATCACTGAATGGCAGTTAGCATCCAAAATCTTGAAAAACTGTAACACTGGGTTGAATCTAATAAGAAAAAATTCAAGAGGGATAAATATAAAGTTAACTTGGGTACAAAAAAAAAAGAGTGGGAAGGCACAGATAGACAGGAGGTATTCTGAAAAAGACCTGGAGGTTTTAGTGGACTACAAGCTCAATGATACAGCCGATATACACTTTGGTTGCATTGTAAGAGGAATGGTTTCCAGAAACAAGGAGGTGATAGCCTGACTATACTTTGCCCTTACCAAGTCTTACCCGAAATAATATCATATGCAGTTATGGGTGCCACAGTTTAAGGACATTGACAAGTTGGAAGTGTACATAGGAGGGCAATCAGAAAAGTGAAGGACCTTGAGTCTGTTATATGAGGACTGACAGAAGGAACTGGATATTAACAACAGTGTACTGTTGCAGTTGTGTATATTGGCTTGCTTACTTTCACTTTGCCACTCTAAAGGAAAAGCCATCACGGACGTTTGCCAGCTTCGAACTGGAACACCACTGGTTCATCCACCCAAGATGTCCACAGCTGCTGCCTTCAGAGCAACAAACCTGAGGTCCAAATTCTCTTTGAGACAGGGTATGGGGAGAGGTCCAGACCCAAGAAGCACTGACTTGGTAAGCATCTTGATGAAATATGGAAGCCCATCACTTTTCTTGGGTTGTGTGAATTCAATGAATTTCAAACACTGAATGGGGACTTTAAAAAATATTACATTGAAAGGTCAGTGTATGTAATAATTTTTAAAGTTATTCTTTTCATCCTTTTTGTGAATCTTCTTTATCCAAGATATACTTTTCCAACAAATTTTACTAAAGTTTCATTTCACTTACTCCATAATCAGGACCTCCCAGCTCCTTTATCCGAACCTCCCAGTGTCCTTTCTCTCTTAGGAGTTTATTAATTTCATCATTCAGGTCTCGAATTCTGAATTCACCTAAACCAGCTAAAAATAAAAACATTAAGAATTTTAGTTCTAGTAAAATTTTTTTTAAAAAGTTTCCCCATTTAGGTCTTATTGAGAAGGAAAGAACATCTCTTATATCAAATCTATAATCTCAAGAACTTTCCCTAATGTTGCCTCGTCTTTATCAACTACCAGAGTAAGTCACTGCACACTTGGGAAAGCACAGTGCTGCTCCCTTACTTGACAAGTAAGGAAAGGTGGGCATGTGATTCATATCCAAGATACACTATACAGAATTTCTGTGGTTAATATCTGTGCCTACCCTAAAGTTATAGCTACCAAGATCCTGCTGCATTACAATGCCCTCCCTGCCATAACACAAATTCCTGAAATTCCACCATAAGAAATGCATGGCTTTCTGTTTTTTTCTAGCATTTTGGTACAGAGAAAGGGGTAACACACTGAGTCACCCAATCTTGGCGTGACTCATATGATTTTTTTTTTCCTTTTTTTAAGCAACTGGGGTAAAGTGACTTGCCCAGGGTCACAAAGCTAGTAAGTGTCAAGTGTCTGGTCTGAGGTCGGATTTGAACTCAGGTCCTCCTGACTTCAGGGCCAGTGCTCTATCCACTGCGCCACCTAGCTGCCCCCTGACTGATCTGATTTCAAGCAGCAAGTACATGAGTGAGGGGGGAGCTCTCACTTTGCTGGCCCTGGTTATTAGGATATTATATGAGCTACAGTCGCAAAAACATTTAGCAATCAAGGAAAAGACAACATTCGTTCTTCCACGAGCAAAAATCGCCTCTGCTAACAAAATTCATCATGGAGGAAGCTTGTACATTGATCTGCAAAGGTTAATAAAACTAACTACCTTCTCCAACACTCAGGAAACGTGAAAACAAAATATACTATATCATTAACTCCATAGAAACAGGTTAAAGAGGAAATATCTAAGCCTGTAAGATGAGGAATATTCAAGTAATCAAGTGACTCTATTTTTCAAAACAACCAGTAAGCTCAGATAAGACAGGGGGATATTCAGCTGGCAAGTTAGGCCACACTGAGACCCACACAAACTGAACAAACTGAATTTGATTCAAATGGATTTTGCTTTTCTTTGGGTCCTCAGCATTTAGTCCACACTCCACATATAGAAGACAATTATTGAATGGTTGCTGACTGGCCGATTCTCCTCTCCAAACCAGAGAAGATACATATGCCCCAGTTGGATTCTTCCCACTGCCTTTTCCCATATCTTCTACTCTGGGTCTGTGCACTCATTTGTTTAAAACCCAGTATATCCAACCTGAGCCCAACTATGAGGTACAGTGAATAAAACCCATTGACTTATACTTACAGTCACATCTTATCTCCCACTAAAATGCAAGCTCTCTGAAGGTAGGGACTGTTTGTTTTTCACCTTTGCATTTCCCATGACTACTACAGGCCTTTGCCAGTGCTAAATAAATGTGCTGAATTAAGAATAAAATCTAGCTTACCATTTTGAATTTGTGCCACTTTTTTTGAGATCTCCCCAATAATCTGCAACAAACAAAAATATTTTTGCACAGTTTTGATACTACTAAGAAAGATAACTTTATAGGGGTAATATAGGACTTAAAAAAACTTTTGCTAAATGCATCTTTAAGTTTTCACAAAAGTTGACAAATTTAATTAAATCACTTTCCCTCAAATTGGAAAATGTAGGCTTTCCTTCAAATTGTACCAATTTTCAGGTCACACTTTTTACTACAGTTAAATTAAGACTCTTTTTAAAAATCACCACCTAGAATGGAAAAATCAAGAGTAATGAAATACAAACAATACTTTCAGAATTTCACTGTTATGGATGTGCATCCTTCCAATGAGGTATACTACTACTTCTCAGTGCCTTAGCCTAGTAGACAATTTTCATGAGTTGCTATGACCTAAATAGACAGACAGACAAATAAATAATCAAAGAAATAAATAAATAAGTCAGCCAGCTGGCGAGTCAGCCTTCTACTGCTGAGTCTTCTTTAAATTTAGTTAGGATGGTCAAAAAACGACAGACACAGTTTGCCACTGGTCCAAAGTGCAGCCCTTCCAGGTTGGTAGAACCAGAAAAATGTGTACTCCAGGAAAAACAACCTTTTAGAACTCAGGGTCCCCTCAATCCCACAGGACAACAACTGGGGTAAGATGTTAGTGGAGGAAAGAGGAACAATACTCCAGCATTAAATCATATCAACAGTGCTGAGAGCAGTGAAAAGAATACCATATCCGACCACAGAGCTGAATACAAACAAGGTCTCCCATCAACCTTTCTGGGCCTCAGTTTCCTCACCTGTAAAGTAAGGGGAATGCTAAGGCGCTTTCCTTTACTAACAGGGAATCTTAAAATGGGCGGCAACATCCACATGCCGCTCAAATGATAGCACTGAGATACCAAACTGGAGTCACTAGCACGTATCCCTAGCCTCCACATTCGTTCTTGATAGGTCACTAGTTGTTGAATTACGCGACAAACAAATACTCATCTATGCCAAACACACCTGTCGTCGCCATTTCTCAGCTTTAGGTAGCTCATTACATTCAGAGGCAAGAAAAGGTCTTCGTTCCTGAATGGCAAGAAAACATTGATGGTGATGCTGCATGTGTTCCAAAACTCTTATGATCTTAATAACTGGCTACAATCATGGGGAGCCTCCACATTTGGCAATCTCAAAGCTACTTATTACAAGTTTCAATTCAAACAAAAGGTCCTTGTCCAGCCTGGCTTACTGAGTTTATTTCAGGCACATCTGCTTTAGGTCTTCAGCTTTATGTTTCTAAGCTTCTTCTTCTTCTGTAACCTGATTTCCTATCAGCTATAACTGAAGGAAAGAGGGCCTGGGGTTTCTTTTAAAGTATATTTTGGGGGACAGCTAGGTGGCGCAGTGGAGAAAGCACCAGCCCTTAAGTCAGGAGGACCTGAGTTCAAAATCAGCCTCAGACCAAATACTTGACACTTACCAGCTGTGTCACCCTGGGCAAGTCACTTAACCCAAACTGCCTATGAATGAATGAATGAAGTATATTTTGGTTGAAGCCACCATGGCCATCTTTTGCCACCATCACAGACAGAATGGTGGGCTAGCTGAACCATGCATATCATCACATTTGGTAATTTTGATTCTTAACTAGCTCGTTAGTTACAGATGGCATCAGAAATTGGAACTCAAATATAAGAACTTCTAAGACCTTCAAATATTATGAATATAGTAGAGACCACATAGTAATTCTGGGACAGCGAATGTCAAACATGGCCAAGAGTGAAAACTATTGGAATCTATTTGTAACATCCTAATTTAACAAATAAAAATAATATAAACCAACCTTAACTTTCCCTTCTTCAAGCTGAGCTTGGCGAAATCGAGCCAAGGCCGTCCTAAAAGTGGAAGAGGAAATTCCATGAGTTTACTTTCAAAGATTTCCCATTAAGCTGACCAGTTGTGAGTCAAGTGGATAACCCTAATTCAGCATCAGAGTCTAAACTACTCAGGCACATAATGACTAAAAAAAAAACCGTATAATGACTGAGCAGTGGCAAAAAGGCAGTTGTGGGATGTTCCATGCTGTGAGGAATTCTGCATTTATTCTGGCGCTTGGACAACCATCACTCCAGATACTAGTATCTTTATTTTAAGGGTCACAAACTTACACAACTATGAGCTACTGTAAGGAACAGGTAAGCAGTATAGCCTTTAGTGGGTTTGTACCTCTCTATTTCTGGTAATAAGAATAACTTGATCTTGAATAGCTACTCCAGGAATTCCCCCTCTCTATAAGACTTTCCCCAGAAAGGGAGAGGCACTGCTAACCCACTTTCAGTTCTGTTGACTGTGCACTAAACATTAAAAAGAAATGGTGATGAAAAGGACAAGCTAGTGAACTGGGGAATGGATGGAAGATTTTTCTAAAGTCTGTTTCGCTGGCTGGTTTAACCAGTATGCAAAGGGTATATAAAGATAGTGACACTGAAAGCTCCCATAATCTAAAGTAACAACCATAATACAAACAAGTTCCAGAAAGATATTTCAATTTGGAAAAACACTGGTACTTACATGGCCTTTTCTGCATTTCGAGCCTACGGAGAGAAGAAAGAGTGTCCATATTTAATATATTGCTTAACTAAGTGCAGTTTTGCATAATACAAGAAGGGTGCATAAATGCAAACAGAAAAGAGGGTCCATTAAATTGTGAATCAAAATGATAAGATAACAAAATTCAGGAGTGACCTCCCTCTAGGATCCAGACTGACCACCGCACTGAGTGATAAAAAGGACTCTTAAATAAGGAACTTCAGAATTATTATAAAATAGGGAAGAGCAGAATGGTATTCAAATAATTTGTAATTTAATACTGTACTCTATTCCTCAAATACAAGATTTGCAAAGGGGAATCAAAGTGTCCTAGAGAATCAATATACGGAACTGCCCAGTGACAGTAACAGTAGACCGAGCTGTCAGGTGGGGTACTCAGCTTCTTTACCCTTTTGGATTTTCCCCTTGCCTTTGTAAACCTTCCCTGCTATCACCTCTGGTCCACACTCTGAATTCCTACTGAAATTAAGGTCAATACTACAAAGTTTAGTATTTAAATTTAACTGTACTTGTTTTGTGTTTTTAAATTTTGCTTCCCCAACAAAACTGTAAACTCCTTGAGAAAAAGAGTCATTTGGCAAGTTTGACAATGCAGAGAGTTACAAGAGTTTGTTTCTCCTTTTTTCTATTTCCATGATGAGGAAGGTGGGAAGGAGAGAAATTTCATTTTTGTTAGATGAATAAAAAAAATCTTAATTTTAGAAATCATAAACTATATATAGATTGATTTATCTGTGTCTATTTATCTGTTAATTGTATATGTCTTTGATACAAACCCTTGTCAGAGAGGTTTAATACAAAGATTTTTTCCCATTTGACCATTTCCCTTCTTATCCCAGGTACATCAATTTTGTCTGTGTAGAAGCTTTTCGGTTTCATGTAATTAGTTATCTCTTTTCTCTTTTTTAATTGCCTCTATCCCTAGTTTGGTTAAGAATACACCTCCTGGGGCAGCTAGGTGGCACAGTAGATAGGGCCCTGGGGTCGAGAGGACCTGAGTTCAAATCCAGTCTCAGACACTTGACACTTACTAGCTGTGTGACCCTGGGCAAGTCACTAAACCCCAAAGCCTAGCCAAAAAAATAAAAAATAAAAATACATCTCCTTCCTAAGGCTGTAGGAGATATGTGATCTGCTTCTCTTCTAACTTTTTTTTACAGTAAGATATTTACTTAGTAGTATCCATTTATTGTGGAATAGGGTGTACAGTGCTGGACCAAGCCTTACTTAGTCCATTACGTAATGACAGCTATCATCCCATATTTCTCCTTCCCTTTGGGGCTAACCTCCCTGAGAAGGCCATCTAACAAACTGGGTGCCTCCGTTTCCTTTCCTTTCTCCGTAACTATCTACAATCTGGCTGCCAGACACATCATTCAAACAACACTGCTGCCTCCAAAGTTACCAGTGTTCTCTAATTACCAACTCTAACAGCCCTTTTTTCAATCTTCATCCTTGACCCATTTGCAGCCTCTGATGCTTGTCAATCACCCTCTTCTCCTTCATACTCTTTTCTCTGTAGGTTTTTAGGACACCACTCTACTCTGTTTCTCCATCTACCTATAAAACCAATTCCTTCTTGGTCTCCTTTGCTGGATCTTCATCCAGGTGAAGCCCCTAACTGTGGGTGTCTTCCAAGACTATCTTTTTTTCCCCTTGATACTATTTTTCTTGGTATCTCATCAGCTTGCATGGATTCAATTATCATTTCTAAGCTGATAAATCACAAATCAATTTATCAGGGCCTAACCTCTCTGCTGACAACTAGACTGCCTCCAGCTACCTGTTGAATATCTCAAACTGGATATTCTGTAGCCATATTAAGCTCAATATGTACAAAATCAAACTCATCATCCTTCCCTCACACCCTTCCCCCTTCCAAACTTCCCTATTACTGTTGAAGACACCACTATCTTCTCAGTCCCCAAGGCTGGCAACTTCAGTGTCAGCCCTGACTCCTCATTCTCTCATTCCCCATATGCAATCTGTTGCCAAGTCCTTTGTAACATGTCCCACATCTCTAACACACGGCCCCTTTCTCTCCTCTGACACTGCCACCATGCAGGTGCAGGCCCTCCTCACATCACACCTACACTACCACATAGTCTGCGTATCACAAGGCTCTCCCCACTCACGTCCATCTTCCACTCAGCTGTCAAACCAATCCTCCTAAAACACAGATCTGACCATGTTACCTTCCCCTTAATTCAATAAATCCCAGTGGCTCCCCCTATCACCCTCAGAATCAAATATAAAGTTCTGCTGGGCATCAAAGCCCTTTAAAAAGGTGCTTCACCTTCACTCCCGGCCCCGATTCATCTTCCCAGTCTTTTTACACCTTACTCACCCCCACACATTCTACAATCCAGACACTGGCTTCTTGGCTTTAAGCTCCCCCGCGCCCCTCACTCACCATGGTGCTCGCGCTTCCCCCGGGGCCGCCCTGGCCCCCAGCACTTCGACTCCACCCGAAGCGGAGGTTCCTCCAAACTCTCGCCTCCCACCTGGGCCAAGTAAAAGCAGCTACTTGCCCGGGTACCGGCTTGACCCGGAAGAAATGAGAGGAAGACCAGGAAGTGAAAGGAGAATAGAAGCTGGAAGGGAAGCTCGGAACCGAGCGCGTGCGTACTAGGAACACCCGGCCAACGACGTCCACTATACGCTTGCGCAATTCGTCTGCCGCGAAGGAGGGGAGTTTGGAAGGGATCATATGGTCTTCCGGGCTTCGTTTGCGCTGCGCAGCGTAAGTACGTGGGGCCAAAGTGTCAGTCGTTAGGAAAGCCGGCGCCCTTGTGTAGCCTGACACGTGATGTCAGAGAGGAATGGCTGCTGGGGTCGGTCTTTGCGTTAAACTGCCTTTTCCCCCGGACAGGGCTTTATCTTGTCCAATTAAATCAATTAATTGATTCAGTTTAATACACGTGTACTAAGTGCCTACAGTGTGTAAGAGCTCTGTACTCTCGCTTGCCAAGGAGCTTACATTCTGGAGGCAGCTAGGTACAAGCACTGGCTCTGCAGTCCTCTAGGACCTGGGTTCAAATTATACCTCTTATTAAGATTTACTCCCTGTACGCATTTTGACAAGTCTACCTTTTTGTGCCTCAGTTTCCTTATCAGTGATGGGTTCAGCAGTTGGCCTACATGTTCTCTGAGGTCCCTTTCAGCTTGAAGTCCATAATCCTGTATGGAAAAAAACTTCTTTGAAGAAAGAACAAGGGGCCGCTAGGTGGCGCAGTGGATGGATCACCGGCCCTAAAGTCAGGGGGACCTGAGTTCAAATCTAACCTCAGACCAAACACTTGACACTAGCTGTGTGACCTTGGGCAAGTCACTTAACCCCAACTGCCAAAAAAAAAAAGCCACGTTTTCTAGGACTCACTTAGCAGTACTTAATTAAATAGTTGCTTTCTGGTGGGTCACTTGCTCCCAGCTGGAGAAGTTACGTTTTACATATCTCACTTAATACAGCTCTCCTGCCCTGCCAGATTTAGGGCTAATAAAGTTAATAAGGGCCCTTTTTCAGAGCCCAACTGTATTTTACATACACGGAAGCTCAGATTGAGTGATTAACCCCAAGGCAGACTGATAGAGCCAAGCTTTGAATTCAGGTACTAACTTTGAATCCAGTGCTCTTTCCAATGTACTATGTAGGATTATAAATAAATATTTTAAAAAATAATTATTTAAGCTCAATAAATAATTATAGATGGAAGTTGAACCAAATGGCCTCAAATGCGGTCCTCTTATGAACAGTACATTAGTTCAAGGTTGCAGAAGACCAGTGTGCAGTATTTGTTCCCTAAGTTTCCAGATGTCGGTCAGTGATGAAGATCTAGTAGAGAGATTTGGAAGCCTGAAAACACAAGTTAATATGCCAGCTTTGCTGTTTATTATCTGTGTGACTCTACACATTTTCTTATGTCTTTGGACCTGCTTCCTCATCTGCAAATGGAAAAATCGGAATGGGTAGTCTATAGTCTAAAGTCATTGAAATCACAGACTCTCTGCTTTGGAAGGGACATCAAAACATGTGGCTGAACAAGAATCCATTCTACAGCACAGACGATGTTGGTAAGGAAAGAGTCTGGATGAACAGCACAGAAAGATGTCCAAGATCATCACCGTGAATCTTGTGGAAGAAAAGTTATTTCCTCACAGAGGAGGGAAATGTGACCTAGAGAGACGTCATCACCAGTATGAGCATCCAAACAGACTGATCCAAGGCTTTCCCCGGATTTATCTAATTCTAAATAAGCTGAAATAGCTGCTTATAGGCAAATGGATAAACCAAAATATGTATTGGGCAAATGAGAGTAGCAAAAATGAGTCAGAATAGTACCTTTTGAGCATTAATCATTGTTACCATATAATGAGATGACGATGACAATGTCAACCACTTTGGTCTTGAGGAGGGGAAATTCTATCCTGGGACAAGAGCCTCTGTAGAAACTGGCAGTATAAAAGTCTCAAGAACATTCATGTTGGTCTTCTTCTCTTACATCCATTTTGTGGTGGTTTTTTTTTTTAATGAGGAGAAAAAAATTATTATTAGCATGAGGACAAATATAATTTTCAGATTCAATCAGAAGCAAATTGCTAATGGTTTTTGTAAGCTGAAACTGAGATTGAAACATGGCATTTCCCATGTTCCTTAGAAGTACTGCAGAGATTTCGAGGAAGCTGATTTCATAGTACCATCAATTTTAGAACTGGAAGGTACTTTAGAGGTCCTAGTCCAACCTCATTTTGTAGATGAGTGGTCCAAAAAAAGTGAAGTGACTTCCCCAAGATTACATAGCTAATTAGTGTCAGAGTCAAAAACAGAACTCTGGTCTTCTGACTATCTCCATTTTGTGAGAGTGAAACTGAGATAACCTAATGGAAACCTCATAAATTAGAAGTGAAGACCTGGGTTATCACAGGACCTGGAGTCATTAGACCTGGATTTGAATCTTTGTTATTCAAAGCACCATCTATGTGAACTTTGGTTTTGAGATGGTGAAACATTCGGGTAGAATAATTATGTAGCAGGTAGTATAAAGTGTGGAACTCTTGGAAGAGGTCAGGGTGGAGATATAGATTTGGGATTAATTTGTACAGAGGTGATAACTGAAGCCAAGATAAAATGACAGGAGTGGCGAGGGAGGAGAAGGAGAGAATCGATATTTAAGAAAAATGTACTCATCTTTTTGTTAATGTCACAGTTACTTCCTAATGATTCTTCATCTTATCCCAACAGAACATTCTCTTGTGACAAAGAAACAGAGTTAAATAAAACAAACCAATATGTTGGCTGTGACTGATAACCTTATGTATCATTCCACACCTATAGTCTACTACTTTTCTACCAGGAGGAAGGAGGCATCCTTCATCATTGGAACTCTGAAGTCACCATCATCAGAGCTTTAATGATTTTCATTGTTTTCCTTTACATTACTACGATTATTATATAAAAATTTGTTCTCCTGGTTTTGCCTCACTGTGAATTATTCCATATAAGTTTTCCCAAGCTTCTTAAATTTTTAATTTTCAACGTTTCTTATGTTGCAAAAATATTCTATTTTTATTCAGCTAGTCTTCAATTAACAGGCACAATTGATATAAATATTCTAGTACATATGAGACTTCCCCTTCCCTTTGACTTCCTTAAGTATGTGCTTAGTGGTAGTATCATTTTATCAGTGAGTAAGTACAATTTCTAGTATAATTCCAAATTGTTTTCCATAATAGTTGGACCAATTCACAGTTCCACTAAAGAAGTATTAATGTACTCCTGACTTTCCATAATCCTCCAATATTTACCATTTTCATGTTTTCCCATCTTTGCCAATTTGATGGGCATGAGGTGAAATCTGAGAGTTATTTTAATTTGTATGTCTATTATTAGAAACTTGGAGCATTCTTTCATATGGTTGTTTATAGTTTGGATTTCTTCTTTTGGAAACTATTTACATCCTTCACCATTAATTTATTGGGGAAAGGGTCTTATTCTCATATACATAATTGTATCAATTTCCTGTAAATCTTGGGTGTCTGACCTTTGTCATAGACATTTGCTGTTAAGACATTTTCTAGCTATCTTGCTTCTTATTCTAGCTACATGGATTTTTTTTTTTGTGAAAAGCAATGTTTCACTCATGTTCTTGAAACTGTCTATTTTATCTTTTACAATCACCTCTATTCCTTGCTTAATTAAGAATTCTTCACTTAGCCATACTTCTACAAGATATTCCCTTTCATTTTTTTCTTAATGATTGTGACCTTTCATATTGATGTCAAGAACGTATTTAGAGCCTATTTTGATATCTGGTGTAATACATTGATGTAAACCTATTTCCACTTTATTGTGTTCCACTCTTCCCAGGATTTTTTGTTGAACAGCATGTTCTTACCCCCAGTAGTTTATATTATTAGTTTTACTGAACGATAGGCTACAATGTTCAATTCCTTCAGAATTTTCTTTACTTAATATATTCCATTAATTGACTTTCCTATTTTTAAACCAGTTCCAGATAGTTTTGATGATTACCACTTTCTAAAACAGTTTGAAATATAATAATGCTAGGTCTCCTCCATTGCTATTTTTCCCCCATGTTCTAGCTCTATGAAGTAAGTCTTTGATAGTTTAACTGGTAAGTCACTAAATGTATAGCGAGTTCATTTAGGTACTAAAGTAATTTCTTCTAACAATCAATATTTCTCTATTTAAGTCTTCCTATAATTCTGTAAAAAGTATTCATGAGTCCTCAGTATGTCTTGGCAGGTTAACTCCCAGATATTTTATATATTTTGTAGCTATTTTTAATGGAATTTTTTTCTACCATCTGCTGGTTTTTAGTAGCAACATACAGAAAAGCTGATGGTTTTGTGGTGTTTTTTTTAATAACTGGCTATTTTACTGAAGTAATGAATTGCTTCAATTAACTTTTTTGTTGAACCTCTTGGATTCTCTAAATTAGTCTCATATCATCTGGGGATGCCACATATAAAAAAATAAGAGAAAGACAAGCAAAAGAAAAGTTATCAGATAAGTAATAGCACAACCATGAGCATTTAGTGTCATGATAGCCTAGGAACTATAGGGTGCCATCATTAATAGTACGAGATGCTACAGAGAGGTTAAAGAAGATGAGAATCTCCCCCTCTCCAAGGTCATTGGACTTAATGATTTTTACAGTGATTGGTGATTGTGGAGAAAGCAGTTTCAGCAGAGTGGAGGGGATGAAAACCAGATTAAAAGCATTCGGACAGTAATGAAGTAGAGGTAGACTACTCTTTCCAAATTCTGGGAGGGAAGGAGAATGGGTGAGATAGGGGGATGTGCCCAGTGGAGTGGTTGTCTTCAGCTTAGAGGTAGCCTGACCAAGACCAACGCTGTGACTCCAAGCACTCCAAGCACTATCCAGAGCCAACAGAGACAAAAAGGATGTCTGAGATAGAGGGGACAGTTGATGGAGCAAGGGCCCCTAGGAGACAGGAAGGGATGGAGTGTGAGACTTGGGTGGAAGGATTAGCCTCAGACAGGAAGAGGGACACTCATCGCCTAAGACTGGACGGGAGGAGGGCACAGATGAATGGTATGGGGAAAACATGGAGGAAGTCAAAGGAAGCTGTATCTGCTCAGGAAAATGAAAGGTGAAGTCATTTGTTAAAAGGGAGGGTAAGCAAGTAGAATTGGAGGACTGGGGAGAGAAGAGAATGGATGGAACAAGGGATATGGGGAATTGGATAGAAAATGAACCAGCGATGAGTAAAGACAGTGCTAAACCCCCGTGAGGTTTTATAGCATTAATTTACAGT